TTAACCTACTACGTAACCTACCTAAACTAGTAGTATATATATATATATATATATATATATACAATTGTTTTTCACTATCCTTGTATATTGTGTCTGGTATTTGCTCTTCTCTACCACAAACAATTGCAAAATCAGCAATGCAGGGTAAAATTAATAGTTGACAACTGTGGCATGAAATACAAAATACCATGTCAGATTGCCCTTTGTAAAAGGTCATGGCATGCTCGCTTTGACCCCACCTGTAGACATAGGGTTAAACATTTGTTTAAAATTCAAAGAATGTTTCAGATTAATAAAGAAATTGTATATAGGTGAGGGGATTATACTTAATTTTATGTTCCTGGAGCCTTACAATATATAATTATACTTAATATATAAATGTACAAGGCACACTTTTATTTTTTATTTGAGCGAAGATTTACTTTTTTGTAGAAAATTTGTCTCATCTGATTTTAAGCTTTATATTTAAATATATGGTAAACAAAATAACAGGATTTTTAAGAATGTGTATACAAATTTGATGGGTTTTTAAGATTTCAAGTTTAATTGCTTACAACTGACAATTTACAATTTTAACTTACTAATACTATTTATCTAATTTGTTAGCAAAAGTAACATGTATTATAAGAGTGATAAATTAAAAACAAAACAAAAGCAACTTGGCCAGTAAAGCATTGTCTTAAACAGTATGAAATATTTAATGCTAAATTTAGTTATAATGTAAGAATATAATCCTTTGAGAACCTTTCCTTGATAAATACTAATGCTAACAAAAACCAAACAGTTTATTTAAAAATCACTTTATTTGTAAATCCCTTCTCATTGCAGTTCATTGCTGCTAATCCAATTGTGTTTATCAGTGTAAGTATTCAGATTTAAAACGTAGTATCCTTGATTGCATTTTTAAAAGGAATACATTTTTGCTTTCTAAGTTGTAGCTGGTGGGTTAGACAGATTACAGTAAGAGTAGCGATTGATTAAAAACAAATGGGTGGAAAGATTTTCCTTAGCAATACTGTGTTAAGAAAGTCAACCATACATAAAACTTCATTAGGTAAGAATCTGTATATATCTACACATATGTGTTATACAGTACATAAAAACAGAAATTATGCAAGTTATTCAGAAGGCTTGAGTTTTGCAGTGTGGTCTTTTCATTAAAAGCAAGTCTCATTGTAGTCTCTTCAGTGATTCATGTAATAGTATGTAATAATCGTGTACATACAGACACATAAATATTAGCATTATTTATAGATTAACAATATTATGAAAGGCAAAAGATTTTGTGCACACGTAATCTAGATTTTTTTAAGTATGTTGCTGTTCTAAACAAGAATGTGTTGATAGATTTTTTGGAGTATGATGATTTGCAGTAGGTGGCAGCATATTAAGCATAATTGTATGAACCATTCATCCATAACAGCATGACCACACATTACTGGTAATACAAAATAAGTAGCCAAAATAAATTTAGGCTCTCAAGTCAATTCAATATTATAGATTACTTTTAGTTTTGACTCGTGATTTAGAGTGGAGGTGTGAATATTGAATGATTTCTAGACAAGGAAAATGCTTTCAAAGTTATCTAGTCATTTACTTAGCTTTAATGGATCAATATTTCATTGGGTTTTGATTTGTGAGGTTTTTCTAATTCATTGCTAAAGTGAAATTAAATCAGTTGGATGGAATAACCTTCAGAATTTTGTCAAATATAGTTACAGAGGCGTGGAATTCACATTGTCCAATGCAACAAGTTTTACCATTAACTTCACACATTGGATAAGTAGTTTTTTTTCATATTGTTTGTTTTGTTACTAGAGAAACACCTGGGTAGATATCTAGGAAGTTACAAAAGTTTATAAAAATTCTGAATTATGGAAAGCTAACATCTACACATAAGCATTTAAAAATGCATACATCTAAACTTCCCATCAAAACTATATAGAAATATAAATATTTAATTCACGTAACCTCAATCACACACACACAGTAACAAACACATTTCAACTAATGCAAAAATATTATTATAAAGCTTTTGTCTGTAGTAGGAGCCCAGTAAATCTAAGAACTCGTAACTGCAGAACGTAGAAAATTTTGTAATATGTCAACCATACTACCAAGTTTGATTGTCAGCTTCAGAAAGAATATATATATTGCATAATAATAATGAAATATATGTAGAAGCAGAGGTATCTTAAGTATTCTGTGGGTAACTCTGAAGAAACATTAAGGTTGTTCAGGAAAAATGTTTATACTGAAGACTAGCTTGTGATGCTATGAAACTGGTTTAATAACCAACATTTTGAGAGAAGAGAAAGGTTGTAGTTTTGTTATACATACCCATCTTGAAGTGAAACCTTGAATTTTATTTCATTTAGTATATGTATATATATATATATATTATGAATATCATCTAAGCCTATAATTCCAAAGATCCTGATCACTAAGCTTGACCAAAAGGGCACAGTTTGTAAAAATCTGAATTGATCTGATCCATTAACATGTGTTCAATACAGATCTCTGTATTTTGCACCTTTCATTCTACTACTCAGCACAAATTTTGCAGCAGAATAAGAATCAATAGAAAGTGAATCCTTTGCATGCAGCAGGAACAATGTACCTGTACAGGTTCTACTAGGTTGTTATGATGTTGCTAAGCAGCAGTGGCTAAAACTGTAATTAATACACAGTTATACACAGACATATGTGCCTTATAAAACAGTACAGCTATTAATTTTTAAGTTGTATTAATTATAAAGTGATAGATTTGCTTTCTAATTTATGTTAAAATTTTCTCATTTCAGGAAGAAAAAAAAGAATTGCATAAAACCTAAGTGCAAAAGTTCGCAAAAATATTTATTATTTTATTTAATAATTCGTTAAAGCTTTATAAAACTTTGATTTTAGCTGATTGTACTAAAATACACAGCACTGCATTTTGTTGGTATTTCCAGTATTTATTTTATTTATAGTTAAAATTAACTGAATTTTCCAACTATATACTGAATGGCGTGGTCAGATAAAATTCACCAGGTAGAAGTGTAACAATATGTTCAAATATGCCTATATATAGCTGAATATTGTGATCTTTTACATTTGTTTTTGATTGCAATTTGCACATAACTTGGCCTGTTATGGTAGCAGTAGTTTGTGCAAATGTTTTATCAGTAATCTTCTATCTAAATGTCAAATTGTTAAAAAAAAGCTACATGTGTCTGAGTATTTTGAGTGGAAGTAGATGATGTGTCTTAATTTCAAATTATTCCAGCTATAGCTTGTGTTATTAAAAACAAACTAAAAAACAAACATAAAATGATAATTCTTTTAATCTCTGTGTTATTAGTATGTTATTCATTAAATATAAAATTTTTCAGGACTTGGCTGTTCATTAAATGGTGTTTGATGATGATACCCTTTCTTGTTACATTTTACTGGTTAAGACGAATGAGTATGTGCATGAGGTTGTCACAAAAGCCTGCAAAGTACTCTTCTGAAATCTCAAAGTTTCACTTGTAGCTCATCTATCTGCTCATCCATATGGGTGATTTTATTTGCCACGTACCTTAGTTCAAACTGTGCCACTTATAACTTTTCTGTTTCATCATATATTAGAGCTGTCGTGATGTAAATCTGTGCTTGGTAAACAATGGTCAGTTGTAGATTGGACAACAAACAATCTTAAGCCATCCTCAGCTGGAAGAAATATTTACACAAATGTCATATAACCGAAGGTTTAATATAATATTTTTAGATTAAAGGAACTTGATTCTCATATAGAAGGCTTGTATTTAGGACATCCATTGGTTGTTAGTTGAACAGTGGATGTTAGCTGTTACTCTTCCACTTCCTGTCTTTGTCATATATTTTGCTTGTACATCAACTGATCACATATCTTTGGGAGGGAAGTGCTTCTATTATTATGGTCCCATTTTATACTTATAATACTATGGAGTTGGTGAGGCAATTTGGAAAGATTTATCATCAGTCTTCCATCAGCAACCTCCTTCCATATATCTTTTTATGTTCCCTTCATAGAGTTGATATTTATTAACAAAACTGAAATGTTTTTTTCATTTATATGTTAGCTTTATCTAAATATCTGAAGATTTTATTTTTCATAAATTTAACATTTGATTTCTTCATACGATTTTTTGACCTTCTTTTCTATACTCAGTGGACCAATTTAGATATGCTAGATGCTTTTTTCTGTTCATTTTCAATCCACCCCAAATGCCAAATATTAGTTCATGGAAAAGCAGGATAAAATTCTGTGTTTGAACTTGTAATATGTTTATATGGGTGAATTATGGTCTTAAATATGTACTTGGAGTTGTTTTTCATTTTAATAAAAATGATTGGATCATTATGATATAGGAATTAAAGTATGAAATATTCATTCAGTGTATTTTGAATCTGGTGCTTTAAGTTAGTTGGATTATATGAGTTCCCAAGCATTGACTTCTTTCTAGTTTTTGTTTTATGTTGGTGTTGTATTATATTATGTTTGTGGTTAAATTCTAATGTTGCATAATGAGCTCATTTTATTCAAAGCTAAAATTTGGTATGATCTCTACTTGTGGGATCTCATTACTGATATTATTTTGGTATTTTTGGGTCCTCTGGTTTCTATGGAAAGCCTCATTGCTATAAGCTGGGCTTATTTACACTTTCTAGAATTTTACCTGGCAGATGCTCCAAGTTTACTTAAATGGCTTGCTAAGTGTTTTTTTACTTTATGCTACCCATTGTACTTTTCATTGACAGGTGGGAAAAGTCACCATTGTTGAACTGAGTATGTTAAATTAAAATGATTTTTAATATGCAAGTCACATGACAACCACAACTAATACAAAGTTGTAGTGGAACTGTATATAGCAGAACTCAATTTTGACATTGCTTGGCATTTCATTTCTCATACCACTGAAAATTTATCAGTTTCAGGAAGGATATGTAACAGCCATTTCTAACACAAAATATTCTTACACTCAGATCATAAGTATGTGCTAAGATCAGGAAATTAGAATTTCCAAGAATGGGAAATCCCTTGCACTTAATGGCATTGGAAAACAAAGAAACATGTACCAACTTGGGGTCCCAGAACCATCCTGAATGAGACCTGCAACAAGTCATACCCCAGCTGTAGTAAGCAAAGTATGGGGTCTTGTAACAGGTGAGAACTGACAAATACAAATGCTCAGACACAAAAACCATTAACATGCCCCAGGAAACAGTTTGTAACAGGATCTTCATCTGAAAAATCAACACAAGTTATATGTACAAAAGTTCACCCATATTTTTTTTTTCAGTACTGTCTAGTTTGATATATGTACTGTCCTCTTACTTGTTCCATGCTACCAATTTCATTTGCTTTCTGTCTAGTTCTTTATCTTTTTTTTGTTTTGATTGTACACTTGGCTTATCAGCATTGAATTTTATATGAGATAATTTGTAATTTTTTATATGTTTCCTATTTATAAATTGTCATTTCTTTTAACAGTTTCCTGGTTATGAGACAGCCTCATCTTATATCACATTCAGCATCACTAGAAATTCCAGTATCTAGAGCAACTGAAGAATTTGTTTGCCATTGCACTTTCTCTCCATATTATGTGAACCACAAGGATCTTATTAAGCCACTTCTAAGTCTAGGTACTTCTTTCTAACTGATATGATTGAGTTGTATGTTTGGTATTAATGTACTAGTTTTCATATTACCTCAGCTGAACATATGAATTCACCAGCTAAATATACATGCTTTCCCTGTCCACCAGAAGTTATTTAGTTTTACAGGTGGTTTCCTGTATAACAGCTGTATTTCATAGATGTACTCTTGCATTTATTTTGAGGTATATTGTGATAGCCTGTACAGTTAGAAGTTGTTTTGATAAAGATTCAAACTGGTAGGTTATGGAGAAAACAATAAGGTGGGTCTAAAATGAGATTTGAGAATAGTGGATGTATCTGATAGATTGCAATACATTGTTCGTGAAAGCTTAAATTCATGTTCCTCATTATAAAGCATTTTTACTGGAAATGTTTTTCAGTAAGTTCATTACTCTAATCAGGGGCATAATTTTTTTTTTGTTGGGGGGGGGTCCAAACAGTATTTTCTGTGAAATGTTTCTCGTTAGATAGGATTAACACATTAAGTCATAGCTGATAAATTTCCTATTTTAGATGTTGTCATTTTTGGTAACAGATTCCTTCTCATTAGACAGCTTTATATCATATGCAGCCTCACTAAACATTTCAGTATCTAGAGCAGCTGAAGAACTTCTTTGGCATTTATGTTTGGAATATAAATGAGATTGATTTGATCGCTTGAGTAATTATATCTATTATCTGGCTTCGAAGCCACAACTGGTGAAGTAGTCCCAATTTGTAATGAATTAGAAATTAAATGTTTCCATTTCTTACTTTTAGTCTAAGCCTTTAAATGTATCAAAATACATCAGAATTTTGTCATGTACTGTAGATATTTAAAAACTTTTTTATTTGATTTAAAAAAATTCCTAATTCAGTATGAACACCGAATTTTTTGCACACTTCTCATTTTGAGCCACAAAGGATATATTAAGAGAATTGTAGAAAAAGGAAAAAACATCTGCAGTTAACTTTTTTTAATAATAATTTTTAGTTCTGTTGGTTTCCAATATCTTTTTTTTTTACTTTCAGCATTGAAACCATAACTTTTAAAGTATTATACTTTATATATGAATAGAATTTCATAGTATTTTTTTTTCTCTTTCATCATCCATCCCAACTGATAATTTCTGGTATTGAACAAAAAAATCCTTATTGAGCAGTGACTTGTGGGGGAGAAAAGATGGATTTCAAATGCTGTTTTTTTACATAACTCTATGTTTTAGCAGCAATGTACAAATTAAGAGAAATGTGAAAAAAAAGAAGATAACTTTTTTTTATAATAATGACTTAATTGACATAATTTGCATATTTTACTGCCTGTAGTTCCAATTAAAGAAGTGTAGTTTAAACTCAATATTCTTTCCTTTTATTGTTGGTAGCTACATTTAAATAAACTAAGGAGCACACAGTGTTATAACTGTCTGCAAATAATTATTTGATAATAATGAATTATTTGTATGTTCTATTAATTTGTAAGGCACATCTCAAAACATTATCCATCTTTTTTTTTTTACAATGAATTTTTTTGTGTTTATAAATGTTACATAAAAACAACAGGGATCAGTTTTACAGAATAAAGAGATTGTAAAAGACATGTTAAGGGTATAATATGCAGAGGCATCACTAGGTGCTTAAAAGATTCGGGGCTCAGGCCCATAGGCACGGGTATCTTTGGTGTTTCAGTATGATA